TGAGTTGGGGTTTAACGCTGCTGTGAACAGTATTCTGTTATATCACGGCGTGTCAGCTTGATGTGGGAGGGAAGCCCGAAGTGATACAGGTCCCAGACGTTTACCACTTTGGTGAAAGCCAGGAGCTGGGACATGGTGCTGACAAACCTAGAATCTTAATCGGGGCGAAGTGGGATTCGAGACCACAATCATAGGTTTCTGGCATGCCAAAGGGACACAACTCTGCACAGCGAATTGCGGTGCCTCAGACGACTGGGCCACCCATTGCCCCTATTCTGTTTGATGCTGGAACAGCGGCAATTCACTACTAACCGAATCCCAAATTCCACAGCCATACAAAGGTAGCAATCACTACATGTCGTAAGTTAACCGCTAAACAAAGATCTGAGGACATCCAATTACGGGTCACGTCAGACCGACCTTGCGCGAACTTTGACCGACCAATGGAATGACCAATCAGAAGGCAGCTTTCTCGTGTTTTACGGCACTATTTTCAAATTGGCGACAACGCTTCGAATCATATTTTGACAAATTCTCGATTAAAAATTTGAAACCTGAACAAAAGAACATTCTGGAATCGCTAATAGATGGACTAGATTGTATGGATTCAATCGTTAAAACCGTAACTATCGTTCGGAACACCCCGTGTTAAAGTTTTCGAGGATGCATGATCAGAAATCACATTCCTACTGTCACTTATGATCTGGTAAGCGACGCTCTGATTGGTCGGATGAAAGGTCTACTGGGATGTCCTCAGATCTTTGTTTAGCGGTAGCGAGAACTAAGGTCCGATTTAAATGAGATTGTAAGTTAATGTGATAGGGATTAATAACTTCATTAAATGTTGCACTGGCGTCTGTTAGAGGAAATAATGTAAGGGTAATAACATTCTACATCTATCTACATGTAATTGGGTGTTTACTTTGTGTACATTCAGCAACAAATATGCTTTACGAGGCGACTTAATGGATCGGTTGTTCAGCTTTGGTGATTCGTGTCATCGTACCCCGACGAACGTTGATCATTGTTCAAAACATCAGTCAGTGGATTGTCTGGTCCAGAATCGAGTGCGGCGTAGAACAACAAACAAGTTGAATATGTGATACATGAGATCACATTACCGATGATTTTCCTAGTTCAGGGCCTCCGCTAGAACCTACGCAGATGACACCTGTGTTGACGCATTAGGAGAAGTCCGGGGACATCTGGTATCCCCGACCCTATTAGTACGTAACACCACCATCCTCTTTTCTCTGTGCTCGGTCATCTACCAAGTGTGTCTATCCAAGGGTCATTATAAAAATATGTACCCTTTTTATGTCAGTAATCTCTATCTTTCATAAAGTTTGAGATAGCCCTTAACTACCATCTCTAATATTTCAGTGGGGAACCAAATTAAAATATATCTTCGAACATTTATACCTTGTCAGTGCTTTATTTGCTTGTGGTAAGGTGGTATATAGTCAATAGACACCGAATGCACTTTTCAGTGAACATATTTCAGATTTTATGTCATATGCATGAGTTTTTATATTGTTATTTTAGATTATAATCTACAAAATAAATATCAGTTTCCTCTATGTTTCTATCTTTAAAAGATGAAAATAAGCACAGCATGCCTGTCTAAAAGGTTTCTGTCCTTGTTGTTACCATTTGTTTAATTAGGTGTAAGAGTTATCCATCTTTATGTATAAAGAAGGTAAATGAATGCTCCCTTATCATATCAATTCCTGTCTTCCATTTTATGACGTTTTTTTAGTCAACTGAAGAAAAACTTCTTCAAACTGGAAAAAGGTAACACCGGGCATCGCCATATGAAAGTTCAATGTCCTTGGTGTAACCTTGTTATATAGAAAACTATTTCATTTACAAAACATCCTTCCATGCAAATAGAAGAGTTCAATGCACTGGTAATGAATGTTGTGGACTACTGGCAGTCATTTGTACTTGTATTTCATGTTGACAGTGTTCGAAATACCTGCCTGCCCGACCGTCCGAGACGGGTTGATTTCAACTCGGGCTGCCAGATTTTCAAATCCCCCTGCCCGACGGTCGGGTTATATTTCATATGTGAAAATATTCTAAATATTTCCCGATGATAAGCATTAATTCACATGTAAAGATAAATGATAAAATGTAACCAAAAAGAAACCCCGTTAGCTTATCCTGAGAAACATATGATTATAGTGGGCAGGCAGGTTTTGGTCAGGGCTGGCAAGTATTTCAGCTAGCCAGTCCTGTGGTCAGGCTGAAATTTTGGGGAGTTTCATACCCTGATGTTGAATGAAAATATGTCTTTGGTGTTACTGTCCTCGGTGTTACTTGAATCACGAAAAAATGTCTATGGTGTTACTTAATATGTCCTTGGTGTAACTTAATATGTCCTTGGTGTAACTTAATATGTCCTTGGTGTTACAACAAGTCAGCAACTATTAACTTTGAATGGACAGTAGCTAAACATGAAACGACATTGAAATTACAACTCTTTAATCTTATTAACACTTAAATTTGTATTGTTATTATAACACTCTTACTTAGGCTCGGAAGAAGATAAATGTATTTGGTGTTACTAAATAAGTCCTTGGTGTTACCACAAGTCAGCAAGTAATACCTTTGAAGAGAGTGTTAATGGGTAAACATGTCTTGTACCTTTGTAATTACAACTCTTAACTCATATTTCCACTTTATGAAAACACCCTAACTTAGGTCCCTTTATAATCACTAAATGTCTTAGGTGTTATTTAATATGTCATTGGTGTTATCACAAGTCAGCAGGATTAACTTACAAAGAAGACGTTGTGAAATGGTAAGTAATGGTAATGGTAATGTCTTTGGTGTTACCAGAGGAAATTCTGAAACTGGGCCAGGTAGACACTCACAGCATGATTCTCAACAAGTACAAAGAACATGTTCAATAAATAAAGATTATTGAAACTACATCGATCATTTTGGTAATGTGTGGGACACAGTGAAAAGAAAATTATAAATGTTTTATTTTTATTTTTCACAAAGAGTGATGATCCAGGCTTTAAAACGTCAGATTCCTTTTTCTTTCCTAGGCAGAGGTAAAATATCAGTTTTACAATAAAACACTGAAAGAAATATTGTATTTATTTTTTATTTCTGCAAAAGATCGGTAACTATACTAGTTACGCCAAGTAAAATACATTTTTACTGTTTCTACGGTATATTTAAAATATTTCACAATTATGTTACTTTGTGTTGGCTTAATTTACCCAAATATTTGTTACGTTTAGATTTTTCGTTTAAGAATTTTTAAGTTATATTTTTGTTTATTCAACAGGACCAAAAGGGGTACAAATTTTGATGATAACTAGGCTGACGATAAATGATTTCAAACGTCAGTTAACTGGTTGCATGCAGAAACCATGATTGTGTATAATGATTGTGTTACTATTTGAAGGACTTTGTCCAAATTAGTAGGTGCACAACTACCGTTATGCATAATAAGAAAAAATATAGATTTGATATTTCACATTAATTCTATTAATAGTTCTATATTTAGTCACTTTATTTTAAAAAAACACAAACATGAATTTCAAGAATGCAATAATTACATGTGCGGAAACATACACTGTTTTGTTTGTTTGTTTGTTGTTTAACGCGGAACTTAGCAATATGACGGCGGGCTGTAAATAATCGGGTCTGGACCAGAAAATCCAGTGATTGACATCATGAGCATCGATCTACGCAATTGGGATGCGATGACATGCAACAACCAAGTCGGCAAGCCTGAGAACCCGATCCTGACAGTCGTCTTTACAAGCATTGCTTGCTGAAGACCAATATTCTAACCCGGATCTTCTGGTGACATACTGGTTGATGACAAGTGTACGTCTAAATCGACCTCGACTATACAGTGTAATATATGTCCATTCTGTTATGATATATACCCTGGGTCCATTCTACGCCATAGCTTCATATTGGGCCGTAATATTGCTGGAATATTGCTAAAAGCGACGTAAAATCATACTCACTCACTCGAATCACATGTCGCTGAAAATCGGCGTCCAGTCCATTAATGTTCTTTCACGACCGACTCCGTGGGTAGAGCGACTGCGCGGGTAGCGATAGGTCGATGGTATTATCCCCGGCTGCGCCATACCAAAAGACAAAGAAAGATGGGTACTTGTTGTTACCCTCCCTGCCTGGCGATCGCCATTAAGAGGATTAAACAAAGACTGGGTGGCCCGGGGACATGCGCGTCGTTGCATAAGTACAATTATCTTGAACGCGATGTTAAACTCCATTTCACCTCAACTCTTTAACAGGTTACCAAAAACAGCAACACATTTTAACATCCGATTTTCATTTTGTTTTTGTTTTTAAACAAGTTAGGGAAAGGAATTTACGGGAATCAGTAACGACATTCGGAGCAATATTCATAGTCGTGATTTTTGTTAAGAATTCCGCTATATGTTCCAGTGTACTATGATACCATCAATTTAAAGTACCGCAGAGCTAAATAAAACGAAGTCGTGTTTCGCTTTTTATTGTGACCGGTGCAATGAACCAGCTAACTGTAAGAAATTTAAATATTTTATGGCCGCTTCATTGAATACTAAAACGGCTTCGAAAGGCACAAAGACGAAGCGACGTTACTCTTACACCCCTGTTAGTTGATAATTTAGTTTTTCTTCTAAATAGTATGATAATGTTATTCATATTTTAACGCCATTTTTTTTCATTAAAATATATTCAACACGATTGCATGTACGGTACTATTTTTGTATTAATTACACTACTGACTTTTTTATGTTATTAATGGTGTAATCAGGTTATCACAATTTATCTAGTTTTTTAAAGTCGTATACTTTTCAACAAGGTTGCTAATCAGAGGCCTCTGACACAGCTGATATAGTTTCTGCAAACTCCGGTCACGGCTTTGCGACATACATCCGGTAAGGAGTATTAACTGGGTTCCTTCTACAATAGTATCTGAAAGCGCATCAGCGGATGTAAATTAGGTCAAACAAAATTTAACCTTACGCCATTTCCGGTATATGCCAAAGGTGTGTTGGATCATCAAAACAAAAGGTTTGTGGGGTTATTTGTAGCTCCTATCTTTATTGTTTGTTACCTCTCATTTGGACGTACTCGAGGGGGAGGAAATACTCCATTGTTTATAAATATGCAAGGTGTCTGAATTAAAATATGAAGGCGCGAGTTGTCAGAGATGATGCGTAGAACAAGTTTTGAACTAGGTAGATCCAACTGACTCGTTGGTGTTGATGGTTTTTCTCACTTTATAATGTTATCGTGCTGACTTGATAGCATGCAAGACAGAAATACCCAGGTGTCAAAATTAGGCCCAAAATTATACAACATACACAACATGATACACGAAGCAATTCTGTACTATGTTTGAGTGACACTTGATGTCACACTCGATGAAGATTATGACACGGTAAACATGATAACGATACGTACTTGTGAACAGATTAAGTTCACTTGAGCAGATTAGCAGGTTTTTCATCATGTTCATACGTCGAGACATTATTGGTTTGTTCTTTTAATCATGTTAATAGGTTGATCATGGTGATTGTGACATGATGAGCTAATACCAATCTCATTAAAATCAAATCTTTGTACTCGCTCCCGCCAAACAAAGATCTGAGGACATCCCATTAGGGGTCGCGTCAGAACGACCTTTCGTCCGACCAATTAGAGCGTCACTTACCAGATCATGAAAGTGACAGTCGGAACGTGTTTTCTAATCATGCAACCACGAAATATTTGACACGGGGTATTCCGAACGACAGTTACGGGTTTCATGATTATATCAATACAATCTAGGCCATCTATAAGCCATTCCAGAGTGTTCTTCTTATCAGTTTTAAATTTTTTAATCGAGAATACGTCAAAATATGTTTCGAAGAGTAGTCGCCAGTTTGAAACTAGTGTCGTAAAGCTCGTGAAAGCTGAATTCTGATTGGCTAATGATGATTTCTTGTCCATCATTTCATTGGTCGGTCAAAATTCGAGAAAGGTCGTTCTGACGTGACCCGTAATGGGATGTCCTCAGATCTTTGTTTAGCGGTAGCAAGAACTAAGATCTGATTTTAATGAGATTGAGCTAATACTAATTGAAGCAGCAGTCAGCAGTAGCGATAGAAAACTAACAGTTTTAGCCCACTAGTCCTTATAATGAGAACATATTGCAAAACCCCTAAAAAGGGCAAACTTCTGCTAGTCCTTATGAGACCTAACTATTGGGCAGTTTGGCAAGGACTACAGGACTAGTGCCAATTTCTAACACTGAGCAGTATTCAAGTTTTATGACCATGCACCATGTGCAGATACGGTACACCTACAAAATATGGGATACATATCTGACATATTTTTTTCATGCTATCAGAGACCATATAATAGAGGGACGGCCCTCACCAACAGTTTATCATAAACCATCAGCGCTACGGTCTGGCATGTAACTGATACACCTCGACCCCCCGCTGTTAACCTCCCTGTACCGCTGCAGATGCGTAATAGATGCGCAGACATTCACGACTGACCATTCTGGTAACCACTTAAACAATATTACATAATATCTGGGGTAAGAGTTAATTCCCTTAGCCGAGATTTCTCCGACTACGACCAGCAACAATCCAATAAAAGGACGTCTCTTAGCAGATAACAAAGATTTTTTTATGATATCTCTCATTAGCACATGTCAGTTGGCTGCAAATTGTTTGCTGAACATGTGTGTCTTCCGGGACATTTATTTCAATTTACATTCGCCACAGCCATAGACGACTTCATTCACTGGGACGATTTCGTCTTGGACCTAGATATGCCACTTAAAGAATTCCCACTCTTCGACCAGGGGTTGGTTTCTGATGACTCTTGGTCCATATAGAATGACGGTGATGTTACCGCTACCAAGCCGTTGGTAAATACCTACCAAAAGGTTTCACTCAAAGAAAAAGATAGGAAATGAAAATATGACGTCTGTCCATAAGCGTAAGTTTTCGAGGGTGTGTGAAGGAAAAGCCGTTCCGATATCAAAAGTATTTTATAATGTATTCTATTTGTTTTAAAAATCAGTTAATATATCTCATTTTATGCTGCAATTGTTAACTATTATAAATAAACAAATATACCAAATCTACTAAGAACGCCACAGAAAACTACGATGTGGTAAATTGCACAGGAACTCAGGAAGTGTAAATAAAACTCATTCAGAAGCAAGGAAGACACTTGTAACCAATGTTCGAAATACCTGCCTGCCCGACCGTCCTAGACGGGTTGATTTCAACTTAGGCTGCCAGATTTTCAAATCCCCCTGCCCGACGGTCGGGTTATATTTCATATGTAAAAATATTCTAAATATTTCCCGATGATAAGCATTATTTACATGATGTATTCTAGCATATTAAATACAAATCTGACCTAAAAAGTGTTTGCTATTTCTATTTTTGCATTACTTCATGTTCAATGAATTCGATTTCAAGTTTTAATTAAATTATCCTGAGAAACATATGATTATAGTGGGCAGGCAGGTTTTGTTCAGGGCTGGCAAGTATTTCAGCTAGCCAGTCCTGTGGGAGTTTCATACCCTGTTGTAACATATCACCATATTCCCGATGGTCACAAAATATATCTCCAGATTAACTTCATATCTTATAATAAGTCCAGACTAGATTTACTTGCAAAAATGCATGATCACCGACTGGTGTAAATGCTTTACTATTAGCCAGAAACTTTAGCCATATTAATGTTTTTATTTCATGAAAATTCGCTACTATTTTGTAATGCTAATAGTTCCAATGAATTAAAAATACACATTAAACTACGAGTGTTGTTCAATGAATTTTCGATGTGTCCGACAATGTGCTTCGAAGGAATCAAACGTTATTGGTTAATGCCAGTTTGGGGCTAGCAGTGATAATGGGGTTTGCCGGAGCGAGATAAGTTTTTTTCAAAGGGAGGCTACTGTTAAATTCCAAAGCAAAGAGGACGATTGTAATTTTACAATTGCTATTTAATATTACCCGATTAGTTTGATATTTCAGCATACAAATAATTAGGTATTTCAGGTAACAATATAGCTTCAACGAGCATGGTACCAGATATATACTAGTATATCGTAAACTGTAGTAACGTTTGTAGTTTCAAAATTGTTTCATCATAGTTTTCTATTTATATCTGATCAAAACTCTAACCTTGAACGAGGCATGCAACTATTACTATTAAAACAAAACAAAACAAAACATCACAAACTCTGACATATGTAAATGTATTTTTCATAGAAAAGGACAATAGGCCATCTATTTATTTTACTGAATGACACCTTCGACCTTGTTGTCTCGAACTTCTCTCCCGACGACTGCCGATATAATCCTTCTTCTTTCTTGGCATTTACAAAGCAAATGATAATTTTATAATACAAATATTTCATGTAACGGATTTTTATTTTCGTATTATGTTTTCATTGTTGTGTAAATACACAAAGTAAGTAGTACCTTCGTCATATTTACATTATTATGATTGGGTTTAGGCCCATATCATATAGCTCATAATCAATATTTACACGGCATAAAATAAATAATTGATTTAATGTAGTCATGATTAATACAGACAAAATCTACAGAAGATAACAAATAAGTAGTACTGTAGTATGTAGTATATGCGCGATATGTGATAGAAGCCTAACTGAAACAAAGTTAAACTTACGAAAAATATGCGTCTTACAAAAACAATTCTAATATCATACAATATAAGTCACTTTGTAGAATGTTTCAAACGATATATGTGGTTGATAATCACAGACAAAATGCATGTTATGTCGTCTGCTATATGGTAATTTAACCTAAAATATGTGACAAACACCAACAAATCTCAGTTGTAATGTTAACAATCTTAAGAAATACATGAGTGTAAATATATATTGTGAAATATATCTTTTACATGGGAAAAAAAGGCGACAACGATGACTGCAGTGAACACGTTTCTGCTCACTTCCGGACAGGCTGCGCAGTACAAGCTGTAGCACTGATGGTTTCGCTCATAGGCTAGAGGGCCGTCCCTCTATTATATGGTCTCTGATGCTATTAACATGATTAATATAGAAGAGGGCGATAAAGCTAAAAATTACTCTTCTTGCATTTGAATGGCTCTGCATGTTCAATATGATTAAATTAAGTTCTATCAAAGCAATTCATAAGCATTGAGAATTGGACATCAACATAGAAATATCACTGGAAAATAGAAGCTCCATAATGACATGCGCCAACCTCATCTGTGACATCCATCAACACCACATTTCAACAAACATATAGTATTTTTCATGCCTTATTCATTAAGACTGGAATTAGTGGAAACTAAAAATGACATTTACATACTATAGTATTTGATTCAGGTCGTTGTGTGGGGAGCAACCCCCTTGTTATTTTAGCGAGGCAGCTAAAAACTTAAAAACAGTTAACTGGTTACTTAGGATGTAGCCTGTGGATCTTCCTTATCAATAATTGACAGAAGGTGTCTGTGGTACTCTGTATTCTAACTGCACATCACTGTTTGCTGTATAAGTGTAAATGCTAGCATTCAAATTATATCGGGGGGAAAAGAATCAATGTTTTCTATTTTCTAATCTTTGGAACAAGTTTTCTTGTTCAAATGTGTAACAACACCTCTTGTGTTACGGACAGTGCACAATGTAGACTTTTTTGTTTTACCTTTAAGTCAATTGTATTTTCTCAAGTCAACTTTGAATGACCTCAGGTAGATGCCTGGGTCTCAAGAAGATATCTGTCAATCTGTGGAAGTTAGCTAGAACGTGTAGAAAGTTGTCATGAATATAATTTGATATACATGATATACATGTATACTCACCACGCTCACCGCCAAAAAAACAGCGAACCATAGAATCTATAGAGACGTATGTATGTTAAGAAGAGATGTTTTCGATGTGTACCAGTTAATGACAAAACTAACAATCAGTCAAGTGTCACCACAGTGTCTCTAATGTTATCACGATATGCTGTACATGATTTTCAAACTTTACATGTTATTCCTGCACGAAACAAATGACGTCACATGTGATGAGTTCATGAGCATCAGTTCACACAACATACCAGTATGTTGGCTTGTGCTTCGAACCAATCTAATATCTCTTGAATATGAGTAAGTCTTCATTTATTAACCAACATTTATGGTATTCATGTTTCTTTTGGCAGGGAGTATATATGCTGGTATACACCATTGACCAATTCCAACTAGTCTACAGCCCATTCCAGACAAGTAGTTTGTTTAAAATAACTACATTTTGGGGGAAAAACAACAAATCCTCTCGCCCCTTTCCGTTACCTGTAAGAAGACTCATCCCCCTATCGATAAATGTTATGTGCGAAAATACAACAAACCAATCAGAATGCACATAGGTCTTCTAGTACTTCTGTCAAAGAATTCCTCCGAAATAAGTTTTGATTTTACATATGTCTTGCATCTAAAAATTTACCCAAGATACAGCTGAGTGTGTTCAATCTTGCTGTATAGTCCTGATATGTTTTAAACAGCATCTGGCCTACTTATTATGTATGGGGGAAATATGCGTGAATCATTATGCAACGAGTTGACAATTCTTTTAGCTGTGCCCATTTGCACTTAGACCATGTAGATGGAACCCAGTCGCAAAAATGACCATGAGAGGGGCATGAGTCGCTATTCGTCTTGTCCCAGAATAACCCGAGTTGGTCACAAATACATTGATATTGCTGACAAGTTACCATGTCAAAAGCCTGTGTCTTTAGAAATGGTAAAGGAACACTGCTTGCCTTTTTTCTTTAGCTCTACAAATATGTTTCAGAATTGTGAGAACTACACACATCTACAGCAGACTAAGGACAGATTATAATATTAAAACAGAACAATACTACATTTGTGTGCCTGCAATGTGATCAGCTGACCAAGGGAGATAACTACAATGGCCAGCTGGAACGGAGGTGATAGGAGCAGTGATGATGATTTCATTCACCCCTCTCGTGAACCCAAATACATCATTCCGACGGTCCCACAGCCCGAGAATCTGCGTCCTGATACTGAGGATAATGTTCAGAGTCAGACGGAAGATGTGTTCAGGAACTTTATGTACCAGAGCTACAGGCAGACTCAAATACGTCAACAATACGACTCAACTCCAAGGATACATGAGTTCGTTAGCATGAATCAGGATCCTGTCAGGTAATCCAGAGATATAAGTTACCATGGTAACAAGATGAATACTTGCATTTGCTTCTCATGCTTATGAGGATAACTGATCGAGCATTAAAATGTATTTGTCTTTGATACCATATTCAATGTAATAAGCGCCCCGCTCTAATAAGACATTTGCTGATATATTGGCTGGTGAACAATCCCAATTAGCACCCATTCCGATTGATCAATGTACACAAGACTAATTTATTCATGTTTAATACACACTCGTGTGTTATATGCAGCCTTAATTATGGGCAATTAAATTCTGGAAAAATATATCTGTCGTACATAAACATTTCAGGCTGTCAGCATAACATTGAAATTTATCTTTCAACTCTGTTTTTTCACCAAAATAATATTCTAATAAGAGCCCCCTATTTCTAATTTTGAGAGTGCCCTGGGCGCTTATTACGTCAAATATGGTAATTGCTTTGGAAAATAAATATTATTCAACACAGATAACATGTTCAATAATCATGATAATTTACTCATCACGACAACTTTGAATAAGGTGTCCAAGTCATACCAAAAGACATTAATAGATGGTACTTGTTGTTACCCTGCCTGGTGCTGGGCATTAAGGGGCTAAAGCAAGGACTGGTGGGCTCGTGTCAGCATAATGTGTCTGAGTGGGATCCTTATTTTAAAGGGGCGGTCGGGTAGCCTTGTGGTTAAAGCGCTCACTCGTCACGCCGAAGACCCGGGTTCGAATCCCGACATGGGTACAATGTGTGAAGCCCATTTCTGGTGTCCCCCACCGTGATATTGCTGGAATATTGCTAAAAGCGGCGTAAAACCAAACTCACTCACTCACTCACTCCTCATTTTAAACTGTGGCATGGTATCTCAGTGGGCCAGCACTATAAAATCAGCATTAGTCCAGACTAGTACAAGCAGCCACACACACATGCATGCACGTCGCTATATAAGTGCAATAATCTTGGAAGGTAAAAGGTGCCCATGTGGATCAAATGGTCGGACTCGAGTCATCGTGTCCGGATGGCATGGATCGCTGCTTACAATATTGATCACTGGAATGTCTGACTCAATTATTTGCAGGCCGCTGCTAGGATATTGGTGAGTGCAGCTGTAAGCAACAAACAAACAAACAAGAATCCAGTCTAACTGAAACATAACCTTTGCTTGTCTTTACAGCTCTACAGCTCAGATTGGCAGGCAGCTCGCTCGTATCGGAGATGAAATCAACGATCGTTTTTCTGATGAGTTTGATGGGATGATACGAAGTCTCAAACTAGACAAAAACAGTATCTTTGATGTTTTTACAAATGTTGCCAAGAAGTAGGTATATTTTCATGATTTATCATCAAATATATTTCCAAGGGTCCTTGTGGCTTATTTCTGTAGTATTAGAGGAGTGGTCCCATTAACATTTTGTTAATATGTTGCTATGTGACAAGTATATCTTGACTTTCATGCATTTATTTACGCGCCATGTCATGTATCAACTCTCAAATACCTCTATATTTAATACTGTTTATGAAAATAAAAAAATCCTGACTCATACTAATTTGTTATCACTTCTTATTCCTGAAACATGGTGGAAACTTTTTGTGCAGTTTTCCCAATGAACAGAAGACATCTCACCCAAACACACCCAAAACCAGTCTGACACATCACTCGGTTATTTTCACCCCAGGTAGTTGGGTGTATTTTTCTTGTGCTCTTGTAATCCAAGCCATCCTTCATCAATCTGCCTTTTGCGATTAATAAATTGGCTTGGGTTACTTTTATTAAACATTACTTCTATATATTCAACAGGTATTTTTTGGATTTGGCAAAGGATTTTTCTTTAAGGCTCTTAAATTTTCCTCTTGTTTTCAACATGATAACGTGTACCTGTGTATCTCCATTCACCATCCACACCCTATTGGCTCATCTTGTGTGACACACATCTGTACTGCAGATGATAAATGTGACTTGGCAGAAGACAGGAGACCCGTGAAGATGGGGGATAGAAAGGGTCTTCAGCAACCCATGCTTGCCGTAAAAGGCGACTAACGGGATCAGGTGGTTGATGCATGGCATCTTATCCCAGTTGCGTGGAACGATGCTCATGATGTCAGTCACTGGATTGTCTGGTCCAGACTCGATTATTTACAGACCGCCGTCATATAGCTGGAATATTGCTGAGTGCAGCGTTGTGTGACCATTGCTGGAGGATTGAGCTGGGGTCGTGTGATAGCTTTCATATCATTGTTTCAGGACCATTGCTGGAGGATTGAGCTGGGTCGTGTGATAGCTTTCATATCATTGTTTCAGGACCATTGCTGGAGGATTGAGTTGGGTTGTTTTATAGCTTTTATATCATTGTTTCAGGACCATTGCTGGAGGATTGAGCTGGGGTCGTGTGATAGCTTTATTGTCGTTTGGTTTCAAGATGGTGATGAAAGTATTGCAGGACAGTACGGCTCAGGTGCCAGATTTCCTGAGCACGATCATATCAACTGTGGCTAGAGTATTCCTTCTAGAGAAAATATCACAATGGATAGCTGAGCAAGGGGGCTGGGTAAGTTTTGAAAATGATCACTGTGCCTCTTTATCATTTGCTGCATGGATCATTGCTCATAATATCAATCACTGGTCTGGATTATACTCATGGAATATGCTGAGTGGGGCTTTCAAACATTTGACAATAATTAAGTTTGGAAATTTTTGTTGGAGGGAACTGACTTTGGCACCACGCCAAAGAGTGTTGGTTAATTTTAGGGCCTGGTCAGAAAGAGTGTTACATGTATTTGGGGGTGTCAGCAAAATAAGATACGACCCATGAAGATCCAGGGTAGAATAGGTCTTCAGCAACCCATGTTGCCGTAAAAGGCAACTATGCTTGTCGTAAGAGGCGGCTAACGGGATCCGGTCGTCAGGCTCGCTGACTTGGTTGATTCATGTCATCGATCCCAATTGATGATTGATGATCAATGATGTCAATCACCGGATTGTCTAGACTCTATTTTTTACAGACCGCCATCATATAGCTGGAATATTGCTGAGTGCGGCGTTAGCTACAACAAACAAACAAACAAAATAGGATACGGTCCTAAGATTCAATTCCAGTGGCCCACCCACCCCTATAATAAATGACCAGGGCCTAAGTAACAGTTAGAAACAGAATTGAGTAATCCGTTCCACATTTAATTTTCACTGGCATATGGGGTGAATGAAACGTTCTGAGCCGAACTATGAAGGATGTGTGGTACACCCTTAGTATTGCTACCAGCCATCAGAGTGACCAGGTATCCTCTGGTGATGAAAATGGACAAAATTGGCCGACATGCTCTCATCAAGTATCTCCAAACTCCAACAGCCGTCCATGCAGAGGAGGTGTTGTCTAGGGGATGATGCTCCTTCCTTTGCCCCTAGTGGACAGCGGAGCTCAAGAGGGGGAGATGATCCAGGATCAGGAATACAAGATATGACCAATACAGGAGGCATATCGTGAGAGAGTTGAGAACAATCGGAGGAATGGACTAGGTATGATAAAGGTTTCAGCACGCTGGGTTCCAAGACTTATGATCAGACATGCTCCAGGTTCAACATCTCTCATGCGATTTTTACTTAAGAATTGACTTTCACTTTGTGTGAGTTCATTGGAGTATGAACCTTCAAAGAGTGAAGGCCAAACTGTATGAACGTCAGAGCTTGCGACACCTCGCGCTAAATGTATGAACGTCAAATCGTGTCGTTCATACACTCATGAACGTTGGATTCTCGGTCATGTGACCAGCCTCTCGTCCAATGGAAAAGCCGTATATCGTGTAAACTATTAAAAATTAAAATTAAAATTAAAAAATGATATCACTTTGAAGCAGACTCGGCTGACTTTGTTAAACGAGTTGTAACCATGGATGGGTAATAGATTCCCCACTATCAGCCAGAGACTACGCCACCGTCAAAGCAGTGGAAACATCAAACGTCTTCCCCAAAAAGAAGGAGTCAAAGCCTGTTCCAAGGATGGCTTTGGTTTTCTGATGGACTACCTTCCGAAAGGTCTGAACATGAATGGTTCTTTTATGCTAATCTGAGTGGGAATATCAAGGTTAAATCTTGTGGAAAACACACTGAAGGTAGGTTGTTCCACGAAGGCAATGCATCTGTGTACAAGTCTCCTGTAACAATGGCTTCATGACTGTGGCTATTAACTCATTGAACTTCCTCCACATTCACCAGATTTGACACCGTCAGGTTTCCACCTCATCCCAAACTTGAAGAAAGAGCTGTCTGGCAAGATTTATACAATGATGATGACGTCATTTCTGTGACGATCGTGAAGATCCGGGTTAGAGTAGTAAATGGCAACAACGCGAGATCGGGTGATCAGGCACGCTGACTTGGTTGATGCATGTCATCGTATCTCAATTGAGTGGATCGATGCTCATGATATCAATCACTGGATTGTCTGGTCCAGACTCGATTATCTACAGACCGTCGTCACATAGCTGCAATATTGCTGAGTGTGGCTTTAAAAAACAAACAAACCATTTCTGTTGTGGAGGAATTTTTACACCACCAGGAGGAAGCCTAGCTTTTTCAGCAGTTGGGTCCAGGCACTCCATCATCGTTGGCAGAAGTGTGTGGACCTCAGAGGAGATGTGAAATATTGATAGCAATCAACTGGTCCTTCACAGTTAGGCTTTGAACTTTTCAGCCACCCCTTATCACTAATTGTCACCAAATATTTGTTTTAATGATTGAATATGTCAAGGAACACGGATGGCCCAGTCGTCTAAGGTACCGCGATTCGCTGTGCTGAGTTGCGTCCCTTTGGCATGCCAGAAACCTATGATTGTGGGTTGGAATCCTGGTTCGCCCCGATTATGTTTCTAGGTTTGTCAGCACCATACCCGTGCTCGTGGGTTTCACGTCTGAGACCTGCATCACTTCTAGCTTTCCTCCCACATAAAGCTGACACGTCGTGATATAACTGGAATACTGTTAAAAGCTACGTTAAACCCAACTCACTCACTCACTCACTCACTCACTCACTCACTCACTGAATTTGTCAAAACCATATATGTGTCTCATCTTCATGCTTCAGATTGCTGCTCTGACTTTTCAACCTACAGCCAGTAACCTTGCATTGGCCATTGTGGGTTTTGCGGCAGTCACGTCCATATGTGCCGTCATTTACTACAAGACATTCGCCTGACACTTGTCATCACATCATCGTCAATGGCAACCTATAGAGAACATATTCCAACAAGATACATCTGTGTGATATTGGTTGTATATAAGCTGCGAGATTGCTGTGATTTTTGTACAGGGCACCGTGGACAAAGTGATAGGACAAGGGACAGGCAAGGGAGTGAAGATAGTGTCACGTTACAACAAGAACACGAGATAATGTCATAGTTTTTAACTCAGTATTTTGTTATGGTCATGTTACAAGAGTTATGTCCCTTTGGCAGTTGTTACACATTATCATAGTGCTCGCCAGAAATGGTTGGTACGTTTGTTTTGACCGTAACCATGGTAACCAAATGATAGGATCTACAGGACATTGAAATTGTCGATTAAATGTTTCTGATGGGAATTGTTGCTTAACATTGATTTTTCATAATGTGCATCATGGGAGGCTGAAAAAATCAAATGGATGTTCTCAGGCTACTGAAGAGTTTGCAAGCAAGAGCCTAATTTTAAGGGGTTAAGAGAGTGTCAGTATTTTCTGGTTTTGTCGACAAGCATAATCAATTTTGTCAGGACCAATGCATTAGATTGAAATGATGAAGTTGATTTGGAGTTTGTACATTTTAGCATGAAAACCATCATCTTGTTTTGTAAGGAAAATATGACAATCTGTCAATATGCTCATGCAGAAAGGATTCTGTTAAATATTCCACTCAACATTTGCTAAGGACCACACCTTTGGAGAAAGATGGCTGTTTTGGTCCTTAGCAAGTGTTGAGTAGTATGTGTGTACCAACCACTCAAATACAAAGATGTTCCAAGGTTGTAGCTTGTTCAGAAATTTTCTTGTTCAGATCTTTTATCTCATTTTCACTAGGGGGCACGGGTGGCCCAGTCGTCTAAGGCGCCGTGATTCGCTGTGCAGAGTTGCGTCCCTTGGGCACGCCAGAAACCTATGATTGTGGGTTCGAATCCCAGTTCGCCCCGATTATGTTTCTAGGTTTGTCAGCACCATACCCGTGCTCGTTGGTTTCACCGAAGTGGTAAACGTCTGAGACCTGCATCACTTCGGGCTTTCCTCCCACATTAAGCTGACACGCTGTGATATAACTGGAATAATGTTAAAAGCGGCGTTAAACCCAACTCACTCACTCACTCACTCATTTTCACTAATAATGTACAGAGGTGTGATAGACAAGTTGTTGAGGCATGGACTCGTAACACTTAGGACCCAGGTTAGATTCCTCATATGGTCGAGGTGCGAAGCAATTGACAGGAATATTGCGACAAGCTAAACCCCATCTCACACAGGCACAGTGTAGGTAGACTGTAGGAGCGATGTTCACATACTAAAGGCAACTTGAGAATTGTGATTTTTGTAATTACCCAAGTATGTTCCACCGCCTGTGTTTTAGTCAGGAATGGGGGATCATGTTTTGTTTATGTCTTATGTTCCACTCAAACAAAGAACACCCACAGCTTTAAGGCTGTGTCAGTACCCATGCATTATACCAGACACCAATCCACCATGTTTGTTTGATGCTACCAATAAAGTATTTTGTATCTACTTTGGCAATTAAACATTTCATTTACTTACGAAAGCATTAAATTCAAACCCCCTGTTCTTTTAGCGAGGCGACAAAAATGGCATCTGAAAAACATAGAAAACGTTACTAAGGAATGAGCTTGTGTGCATCCCTTACCAAGATGGTGGAAGGTGCCCGGTATACTGCATTCTTACCAACGGTGTCTGGCAGTACCCACCAGTCATGACAGATTAACTTGAAAGAAAATCAGGGGGCACGGGTGGCCCAGTCGTCTAAGGCGCTGCGATTTGCTGTGCAGAGTTGCGTCCCTTGGGCACGCCAGAAACCTATGATTGTGGGTTCGAATCCTGGTAAGCCCTGATAATGTTTCTAGGTTTGTCAGCACCATACCCCTACTTGTTGGTTTCACCGAAGTGGTAAATGTCTGAGAACTGCATCACTTCAGGCTTTCCTCCTACATTGACGCCGTGATATAACTGAAATAATGTTAAAAGCAGTGTTAAACCCAACTCACTCACTCAATCACTGAAAGAAAATCGGGTGTTATTTTATTTCTTTTGAGTAGTATATATTTGAAATGAAAGGTTATCTCAGGGTGGTAGCATTCTCATAGAAGTTTGGAACACTGCTTTATGTTTTTCAGGATGGGTTCTGCTGGTGTTTTTCTCTTGGAACAAGTCCTGAGAAATACTACCAAACACTGACCAACTGTGCTTTTAAATTGGTTAGGAACAACAGTATATATTTTCATTGATTTGAGTGATTTAAGGAATTTTTGCCAAAAATTGGTTAAAAAATGAAATGTTGTTCATTAATTCAATATTGTTCAGTGATTTTGTTATTAGTGTTCGGGGTTTAACAGAAATATAAACATGGCTGGGGTCTCATAACTCGCTGCATATTTTGTCAGAATTTTTAGCAGAATTAATAGCATCATGCGTCAGTTTATCAGAAGAACTTTTTCTGAAAGATATTGATAACCCAAATACATTGTATAACGTTGTGTCCATTCTGTTTGTTGAAACACTTCATGGAGAAAAAAAGGGGAGCTCAAAATGTATAAGAAATAATGGGTAAGAAAGAAATTTTTACACTTGCATGTGTGTCATACTGATTTTACGAAATCGGTGTAAGAATTCTCACTCGGGAAATACAAGAATTCCGACACTTGTTTTATAAAGCCAGTATGACACACATGCTCATATGATAATCTCTATGTACTTCGATGTGATTCACAGAGACAACTAGTGAATGAAGTAGGCCTTAGGTGTTTTCCTGAGTCAACTGATATGATAGGAATTGTGCCTTGCAAGACACTGTGGAGACATATCCGTACATAGATCACAAGTGTGTTGTTCAGTGTGCTTGTTGAAACATCATTTTAATGATATCTCCCTTGATGTGTGTGTATGGTCCTTGTGTCCTTTGAATTTACTGACTGATGATGATAGATATCCGGGCAGTTAAGGTGCAAGGTCAGTTTTCGTTCTCATTTCCCTGGACCTTTGGGGAAATATTTTGTATTTTTTTATGGTTGAAACTTGAAGAGTTTGTTTAATTGAATGGAATTCACTTGTTTCACTGGTGACCGTCTTCTGTCATTGTAATACTTGACATACCGTATTCGACGTAATAAGCGCCCACGGTGATATTTGCTAATGTATTGGCTGGTGAACAATCCCAATTTGCACACCTTCCGATTGATCAATGTGCGCAAGACTTATTTATTCGTGCATAATACACACTCGTGTGTTATATGCACCCTTAATTACGGGCAACTAAATTCTGGAAAAATATGTTTGTCGTGTATAAAACGCATAGACTTTTCTTTTATATCATTCAGGCTGTCAGCATAAACAACGAAATTAACCATCTTTCAACCTTTTTTTTTCACCAAAATTATATTCCAATAAGAGCCCCCTATTGCTAATTTTAAGAGTGCCCTGGGCGCTTATTACGTCGAATACAGTACCTTGAATAGGTATGTCTTCCCTGGTCCAGACTAACATGCTGCAACTGTCATAGTGCTGATTATGGTGATCAACAACATTCACCCCTAATTCAATCAGGTGGTCGGGTAGCCTAGTGGTCAAAGCGTTCGCACGTCACGCCGAAGACCCGGGTTTGATTCCCGACATGGGCAAAATGTGTGAAGCCCATTTCTGGTGTCCCCGGCCGTGATATTGTTGGAGTATTGCTAAAAGCGGCGTAAAACCTTACTCACTCACTCTTGTAAGTTCAGTTTTCTGTCTTTTATTGTCTGTTGTTAAATCTTGATATTGATTTTGAGTAGGGGGATTTATGTCTTTCAGGGGGATTTGATTTCTCAAAATGAGAGTATGCATTTTTTGTTAGTAAATTCAGATTTCTGAACTTACACCTTAAGTTTCAGCAAGGAGTATTGTATTCTGCTAAAAAAATGTTAAGGGCCACCTGATTCTTCCATATTATACAGGCCATGCCAGACTAACTACAGTTATAGGGCCGAATCAGGGGCTCCTTATCTTTGGTGTAATATACATATATGAACTTAACTGCTCAATATCATGAAGACAGGGCCATTAGACATGTCTGAATAAACTAAAGTCCCAGGGCGCTAACTGTTCATCATATTGATGTTCTTGGCAGTGTATTCTGTGATGATTCAGGACAATGACTTGCCCAACAAACAGGACAGTGAAACCCCTTTAACTGGAATGTCTTGAATGACATCGTTTGAGCATCATCACCCATACAGAGATGCAGCCATTATCATTGTGAGAGTCATATGATAATTTGAACCAAATTCTACCAATACTATATAATGAAATATGTTTCGAATTTTGTTTAAACATATCACTATTAACATTATTAATTTAGACAATTTATTGACCTTAAAACAGGCTTTGTGATCTAGTCAACCGATTAGTAATCAATTAATAAATAATCGCTTCTTTAACTTGTGATGATTTTGAGGGGTTTGGGTTATAAAAGCAATGTTAAAGATAATTATTTTCTTACACAAACCATACAGTCAATCATGCTAATAGTGATAAATTTTATTATTTTTTTAATAGGTACTAGTTTTAGACCCTTATTATCCCAGATAATCCTAATCATCACAATGTGGGCGTGGCATCCCCTGATAGTGCTGTCAGAAACCTATCGGCTTGTGGTCTAATACCAATGTTCAACTCGTCTCTAGATACGTGATTTGATATCTCATGGCACTCAGATTTCTGGTTAGGCCAGCCCTTTTATATTTTTCGGATTACGGACCCGCCGACTCTAATTTTTGAGAAAGTGTAAAAAAATATATATATTTGCCGATGTAAACTAGTAAAGAGATACATAATCAATCTTTGTTGATCTTGAAGCCGAACATGAATAGCCTCCCTTGACAATTGTCTGTGTTGTACATGTTGTAAGTGGTAGATTTTTTATTGTTACAAGGGGCTTTTTCATCACAAATGGTGGTCTTTTTGAGCACAGAATACGTTCATAAAGTATGCCAGAGGCATTCTGCATAAAAAAAATGCATCTGGCTTTTTTCTTTTTTTTACACTCCTCCAACCCTGGACTTTGAGCTGAAAAATCCGTAATCCTTAAAATATAAAAAGCCTGGCCTCATGGAGGTTTCACTGTCCACAGTGTTTGAAATTAGGCATTGAAGTCAAGGGTTCTCCGTTTATGTTGGTATAACCAGAATGTTAAAAACTTCAAAGTTACAAATCTCGGGGTCCCTAGACTCAATTTTATGATAAGACCCCAGGTCTTGATTTCAACACTGATGTGAAAGACTGATCTCTTATTAAAGGGGAACTGTGTTTTAGGAGTGCCTTTCATTCCCTTAGCTGTTGTCTGCAATTGTCATGCTCCAAATTGTCAAGGACAAGGATAGGGCATCCGGTATTTTTTAAGTCAGTTTTGCTGATACCTATTCCCCTCACAAAGGACTCAAGGTCGACTGATACAATCTTTTTGAAAATGTTTGTTTGAACTGACAATAAAATCATGTACATAGACAATGAGAAATGCTCATAACAACTATTTGTTCCTTGTGTGCTCAGTTTTAACAATATTTATATGAAGAACATAATGTATCAGGAAATATTGGTATCATTTAAACTGTTCATTAAGTCGTATCAGTTATTGATGAAGAATACTACAATGATGGAATCATTTTCAAAAAGACCATGATTTATATTTCCCATTTGTCACATTGTCTCATCCATATTGGAAACCGTGACACCATGACAGAGTGGTATTCATCATGTTGATTTCATGATTGTTTCCCTGGTAACACCAGAGTTTATTATTTCTCATACTGTCACATGGTCCTATTCATATGAAATACATCGTGATTTGTTAATGATATGCAAGAAAATGCTATGCTAACTACCGTATTTGACGTAATATGTGCTGCACTCTAATAAGCGCCCACGGCGATATTTG